CCCCTCTCATGCTCTCTCTCTATCTCATTCTCTGTCAAATAAATAAATAAAATCTTTAAAATAAATAAATAAATAAATAAATAAATAAATAAATAAATGCGACCACCAAAGGGAAATGGAAGCTCAGAGAAGCCAGACTCCCAGCTCCCTGCCTTCCATCTTTCCTTGGATCTAACTGTATCTTCCCCTAAGCACCTGTGAATCTGGCCAAGCCCCCCTGGGAGGCCTGGGTGAGGGACGTGGGCGCCCGGCCTGGGTGCCCTGGCTATACTCACAACGGAGAGGTCTTCACGTAGCTCACGTTGCCGCTGCCCTCGGGGCACTCCGGGCTGACGCACTGGAAGCCTCCCCCGGTGTTGATGCACATGGTCCCCTGGGGACACACGAGTTGCGGGCTCACACACTCATCGACATCTGAAATAAGGGACACCCAGGGAGAGTGAAGATCACCCGACGTCCCTTCTGTCACAGAACCACATGAAAAACCCGGACAGGCGCTGGAATGTGGTGAGCTTCCTAAATACCCCGTACTTATTTTTCAAACGGGAAACCCTGTCATCCTTCACTATTTGAAATCCAGACCTTGTGGAAGTGCTGCAGAACCCCGCTGGGGAGCTGCCCTCCCCGGAATCCCGTCCTCCCGCAGGGTAGACAGGTTAGAGAGGTGCCAGAAGCACAGGAGTGTGACCGGTCCCGGGTCACGACGCTTCTCTGAGATCTGCCTCCTCCTCAGCCTAAGGGCCCTGGAGTTTCCCCTCAATGGCTATTTATCAGGCCCTTTAAGAGTCAAGTCTTCCAGAAAGCCTTTCTCCTCAGCCTCACCCCACCCCAAATGCAGATGTCCTCACTCTCCTTTGTATGAAGTCTCTGCTGCTGCCTTCCCCCCAGCTGGAGGCTGTTTCTTCCCAATCTGCACAGTCCTACCTGAGCCTTCTTGAATACTTCTGGGATGGAGGGAGGGGGGGAGGGGGGGAGGGTTGGATGGTTGGTTGGAGGGATTGATGGATGGATAGAGGGATGGATGAACGGAGGGATGGATGGCGGAAGGGAGGGATGAGGGCAGGGAGGGATGGATGGTTGGAGAGATGGATGGATGGATGGATGGATGGATGGATGGATGGATGGATGGATGGAGGTATCTTCTTCTCCAGTCCCAGGTTACCCACTCCTCTGACCCTTGCAGCAGAGCCCCACTAGGAGGTCACTAGGGAGCCACATCTTCTCTCACATTCTACCTGAGCCCACAGAGGAGCCCTCTGCCTTCTCCTCTGCTCCTTCTCCCCCAGTGGCTTGGAGCCGCTGTCTGGGACCAGCGAGGCTCTGTCGCGAGCCCTGCAGCTCCCTGCCTCTGTAGCAGCATCACTCACCCTCACAGCTCTTCCCATCAGCCAGCGTCCGGTACCCGCTGGGGCAAGCACAGCGGTAGGAACCTGGGGTGTTGACACAGGTGTGCATGCAGAGCCGGGGGCGTCCCTCCTGCCCGTAGAGCTCGCATTCGTTCACATCTGGGGACAGAAGTGCCCAGTATGACCAGGAGCCATGTGGTGGACAGCCACTAACCATGAACTAGGATGGCTGTGCCTCAGTTCCTGGAGGCGATGGCCACTGTGGCTAAGTGGCTGGGCCTGGGGGGGGGGGCAAACCCTATCCCCAGCAGAGCACCCGGAAGGAGAGCAAGCATGCTCCCCTTCCTCCCCAGCCAAGGGCCCAGGAGGCTGAGGGGAGGGATGAGAGGGCCCTACATGGTAGACCCTAGATGGGTTCCTTTGTCTAAGGCTGAAGACTAACGGGGGGACCCTGCAGGGGCTGGCAGATCAGGTGGGCAGCCCAGACTACTGCCTGGATCCCAGCCCCACCTGAACTGGCCTCATCTTTGGGGTTGGAGGAAGAGGGACTCATTTCAGCTGCTGTAAAATGAGGCAGTTTGCACCAATTGGCCAATTCTCCGGTTTGGGCCCGATTGGTTTGAGTCGTTCTCAGAAGGCACTTTGGTAATCAGGAGAGGTTAGCTAAAGTTGGCTGGGTCCATAAACCCAAGTGGAGAGGGGGCCAGGGAACTGAGTCCCCGAGCCCTGCACAGCGCAGGAGGCCTTCCTAACCAGCACAAGGACTCGAGCTCCTCTCTGCCACCCGCCCCAGATTGCAGCTGGAATGGGGGGGGCGGGGCTCGAGGCTCTTCTAGATGGGTGTGCTGTTTTGCATGGTACTGTGGCTGGCTTCTGAGATGGGGGCCAGCCTGGGCACCCCTGGCTGCTCTCGCCACAGTCTTGATTTCTTATGCTCGCCTCTGATGTCTACGTCTCAGCAGCCATTAGGTCGACACTTACCTAAAACGCAAAGTGGGCCGGGCTTTCTGAGACTTTGCCCGCCCGCCCCCGCCCCGGCCTTGCTGGTGCGCCCGCAGCAGGAGGGCGGGGGGTGGGAGCCCTGTCTTCTCCTGGGCACCCCCACCCCCGCTCCCCCCTTCCCCTACAAAGCCCCGGCCTACCCTGGCAGACGCTGTCGCCCGTGGCGACGCCGCTCAGGTGGAATCCCGCCTCGCAGCTGCAGTGCTGCGTCCGCTCCACCTGCGCACAGCGCGGCGCGCGGCTGAAGGCGGGGTCGCCGGCCACGCTGCCGTCGGGGGCCGCTGCGGGGAGAAGACACCCTCAGGGCGGGGCCCTGGCGCCCCTGCCGCGCGCCCAACCTTGGGCAGGGGCCGGGAGGAGAACCAGGACGAGGGCGCGGCCCCTTCTCAGAGCTCACTCTGGAGTAGGGAAAGGAAAGACGAGTAAGTGAGCAGAAACCCGCGGCCGCCCAGGGAGGGCTCGGGAAGCGCGGCCGAAAGGCACCTTGCGGGAACCCGCGGACCCTGCGACAGCACACAGAAGGACCGCGTCAAAAGGCTTAACAAACACCAAAATGCTTACAGTGATCCCTGGAGTTTAAACCTATGGAATGTAAAACA